AGCAGCATAGGTAGTATTACTAGTCGAAAAAGTCATACTGAGGGAAGACGTTTTTGAGTTTGTGGTAATATTAGTAGCAGTAGCAGGTATGCAATATGAGTATTTATAGTAGTATTCGTTATCTTTTCTGCCCCCTAAATTGGACACATGATAGCTGTCTTGGACCAATTCGTGGGCTAAATCAGGGCATGACAGACGTGATTAGGGATGCGCTATAATAAAAAGTGCCACACACGGAGTATGTAGTAGCAAGGGTAGGTACAAGCTCACACGGCGCCAGCCACCTGCATCTGATCTTGTCTCCGGTCTCTTTGGCCACTGGGTACAGATGGGTGAGGGGAGAGCGAATGCGGGCGATGCAGCACAATAACATGAAAGTAATTCAGGCGTAAGCCACCGTCTTTGCGCCATCAGTACACGGTGGACGTCGTTGATGGTCGAGTTGCTACTTGTAGTAAAAAAAGTCGTGTTAATGCCAATGGTGTTAGTAGTAACAGTCATCGTACTACTTGCAGTAGTATGACCAGCAGTTTTCGTTGTCCCAATTGTGGTGTTATTAGCGATGGTAGTAGAAGTCCTATTACTAACACTTTAGTGGCAGCAGTAGCAATATAAATAGCACTGATAGAACCAGTCACAGTAGCAGTATTGGGAGGAGTATACGTAGCAGAGGTAGGAATAGCAATCGTTGTTTTTGTAGTACAAGTGATAGCACGAGTCGTACTAGTAGTATTATGGGGCGTTTTGTGGGTGTTTTTGTGGTATTCATAGTAGAAACGGCGGCAACAACAACAAGAAAAACAGAGATATAGGGAGCAATATTAGCGGTATTAACAGTAGCAATTGCACTAGCAGTGTTCGAACTGGTGACACAAACAGTAGCACTGCCAATAATTGCAGCAACTGTAAAAGGCAGTTTTCGCCCTTTACCCTGACCACTCAAGAATTTGAACGTTGCGTCTTCCATCACCTTTTCTCAAAACCGTATGGATTCGACTGATCAGCATCATTTTGTTGTTTATAAAAGACAAGTTTGCACAATTCTGAGGATAGATAACCCTGAGTGGTATATGAACCAGTTAAATTTTCACGAGGAAAAAAAACTGGACTTACGGTGTTAAACTTGCGTCCCATTAGCATAGGCACATTTGGATCTTTAGTTGATAGCAGCAGACGCAAATTTTCAACAATGACATAAGTGTCGTCATCCGCCTTCATGAAGAAGTCAAAGTCGTTGAGGTGGTCTCTGTAGGCGGTAATAACTCCAAATCGCGTCTTCAGCCACAGGTGTTTCCTGGATTCCGTATCAACAGCCTCTATAAGCCAGAGGTAACATCAAAGCTTCAGTTTACTTCGAGAGAACACATGTTAGACGCGTGCGCTTTTGAGATTTGCAATTCAGAACCAGGCATTTTCAGTGAAGCATACTACGGTAATGCAAATACGATAGATTGTGTTGGGAGGATTTCTACTTCTCGCCCCTCCCCCCCTGGTGAGCAAAAAGCCAGACAGAAACGCCCAAAATAGAATTAATCCGTTAAAACATCGGTAGCCGTTAGTGGAATTTCTTTTCCGAATCAAGTAAAAAGCCAACTTTGATCTATACCGCATGTCCCGTCTCGCATACTCAGTTAAGACAATGTCTGCCTACTCGTGCAAATGCTGATAATCCAGTCAGATGACGGGTGGTGGGTAGCGGAGGGAAAAGATAACAGCTTCAGCTGGTGAATAAACAGCAGCAGCAATAGCGTCACCGAGCCGCGAAAGACTGGAGTCCCACAAAGTAGCTATAGCATTTAACGTAAGGAAGTGAACCCAACCCTCGGGATCTGCTTACCCGAAGTGGGTGTTACATATGCCTGTCTAGCTCCGGGTAATAAGCCAGAAATGGTTATCTTGTAAGCTTATCAATGAACAAACTGCTCGTGATCAAGGATACCCCCACAAGGCTTATCTACGACGTATAGTCAAAATGTGTCCCTATATGACGGGGGGAACCAGTCGGACGAAGCAATGTCTCTCTTCTTTGGTACGTACGGGCCGGGCATGAGAACGCCCCGTACACGCAAGAAAGGCGGCCCTACGCATTATATCAGGAAGTATAAATATTCCCATGTCTTAAAACCCCCCCCCCCAACGAGCCTTAACCTAAATCGTAGTCTAATGTTAGCCCCAATCCTATAACCACATCTTCCCCTAACCTTAACCCTTAACATAACCCTAACCATAAAACGTATCCTAACCATAACCTTATAATTAAAGTAAACTGTCACTTCCAAGCAACTCTGTACAAAGCCACCCGTACTGTGGACGGTTCCTTTTCTCATGACCTGTTTACGGGGCTGTATACGAGAGTCTCTGTATGGAGTTCAACAAATCAGGGTTATCCAAAACGGTCAACCAATCCCAAGGCCGCCGCTGACCTGCCATTAACTCAGGATCATGGGAAGTCGAGCCTCCAGCAGCACCAAGCGTGCCCCGTTCGTACGGTTGCTAACTTGCCTCACCTTATTCTTCCTCCGGTTTGTACAGAATACGACGATGCTCCAATGGACATCTTAACTTTCGTCTTGCAAGTCTGGACCTAACTTAGAATGGTTGCGGTTTTTCCTGTTGCTTGAGATTTCGCGCAGGTACCCACAAATCCGTTGATGATTAGTACAATCATGCTTGAAGGTGCATCGAGAGCAGGGTTCCGCGTAGAAAGCTTGCTCCAATACACAGTGAAAGATCAAAGTAAACTGAGAGAAGCTATCTGACTGAACTCGACATCCAATAGCTATATCTGTGGGAACGTTAGTCACAGGTATTACGATGACACGGCAGAGTAAACATAATCCTTCCAATTAAACGTTTTTGTTTTTGTACTTGTATTAAATTCAGTTGGTTTTAAATAAAGTGGTGGGCAGAAAAATCCGACCAATTGAAGACAAAATCCACTCTCATCCTAAAGACCTCAAATACCTACTGTGTGGAGCAAAGCAGACACAGACGAAGGCGACTAACCAATTAGTCTTCGTCAGCCAGTCATATACGTCAGTTTTTGAAAAACTGAGGTTTAAAACCCCTTGAAGTTTTTTACGCTCTTGTCATTATAACAAACGTGCCCTATCGCAACAGGCAAGAAAAAGAGGTATTGACTCAGTTGTAGAGCGCCCAATGGCCAACGAATCCGAGCTCTAAGCTCTAATTAACCGAAACAGATGTTGCATATGCCTGTTTGCCTCCGGATAATAAGCCAGAAATGGTTATCTTGTGAGTTTATTAATGAACACGCTGCTCGTGATCAAGGATACCCCCACAAGGCTTATCTTCAAAGTATAGTCAAAATACGTCCCTATATCACGGAAGAACCAGTTGAGCTGGTGATGTCTCGGAGAGATTGGGACTAATGTGGGATCAGTTAGGTAAGTTCTATTTGGCTATTTCAAGGTTCAGTACCTAATTGCAGCCCCAAAACAATTCCCCTCAAACCTTAAAACAGTGAATGGGCGATATAAAGGTAAAAGGATAAAGAACTCACTTAACGTGGGGAAAGTCGGGTCGTCTTCACTGCTGATGAAGACGAATTTATCGAATCGACGGGCCCAGGTCGCCTTCACGTGGACAGCCTTCACTTTCTTTGCAGCTGGAACCGTTAAAATGAAGCAGTAGATGCGAACCTTGGTCGCCAATTCCTCAGCCAAAAAGTGCTCACCTAAATACATAAAAAAGGTAACTTGTTATTTTTTTGCACAAAGGCTTCAGAACGCTTGCAAGGACAGGTCCCAACGTGAAGTTAAATGAGACTTTTAGGAGCCGAGTCGTGGCCAATAATGCGACATAGACGGTCATCTTGGATTTTGACACTCCGACAAGGGATCTGTTGGCTATCGCATGGTTGTGATGGCTTGCAATCGCAAATGGCATGAATGATGCTGGTTATGCCCCCTAACTAGGGTTCACTTGCTTGCTACATTTTTGATTCGGGCTCAACTCCCGAGGTCACCACATGAGCAAGGAACACCCATCTGCGTACTGCGCCCTCTTCGGTTCTTCAAGCGTTGAAGACGTCGACTAGACTGTAGACTGCTTGTCAGAGTCAGGCTCAACCCGGAGCAGGTTTCAGGACATGTCGAGCTGTGTCCACCCTGTGCGTCATCAACATGATTTATCGATCGTTTGCTAGAATTCATTTTCAAAGAATGAGTCTGGTGAGAAGAAGGAGACTCGATCTCTGGGACAATACGTC